GCCTCAATGCCAAAGGAGCTGGAAGGAACAGATCAACAAGGAAAGGACAGGGGAAGCAAAGGCCCCTGCAGAAATTGGAAAAATGGAAGGTATGGGATAATGCCACCTGAAACCCCAAAAATCGAGGAACCCCGACCCCCTCAAAGAGACAGATGAGAAACTCGGAGATACGGGCAACCATTGGAGAGAAATCCGGAAACTCCGAGTCAATGCCCAAGAGCAATAAACACCCAATTTGCTTGATAGATGGTTAAAGAAGAAGGGTGAATGGAACATGCTAAATGTGAAGCTACTCTACAAGAGAAACCAGAACATCTCGCCAAGGACTGGGGTTGATGGAGCAGGTCAGGAAGGAAGGGAAGAGGAGGGGAGCAACAAGGGGACCTGTACTTGGAGCAACTGAGTAAACTGAGGTAGAGCAGACCAGTAAGGATCAATCAGAAGGATCGTGCACAGAGTGGCATGGATGAGAAAGACCACCAAATGAAGTAATAGGATGGGAGGGTAAAGATAAAGGAATAGATGAGACCAATCTCGAGGGTGGGGAACCGAGAACCAAAACCGAGATAATTTGTGATTGAGGGCGATAGCAAAAGCATCAATATGGGGTGTACCCAGATGCACTGAAAAATGGCAGGATGCAGAGACCACTCCATGGGATAAACGCGATCCGGTCAAAAAAGACGATCGTCTATGAGAATGAAACCACCCAATACATAAGATGCCATCAAACGAATTTGATACATGTGAGCCCCAATAACGAAGATCCATAGTGTGAAAACACAGGGATCTGGACCTGGTGCCACCTTGGTGACTGACATAAGCCACCATGGTAGAATTGTCAGAATGGATCATAACCAGCTGGCAGATGGCAAGAAAAAGAAAATGATACAAAGCCCAATGAACAGCCAAGAGTATGAGAACACTGATGTGAAGAGAACTCTCTTCCACAGACCAATGACCCAAAACTTCCTTGTGATTCACCTTGGCAACCCAGCCCTGAAAGGATGCATCCATGAACAGATGTAAATCTAGCTGCGGAGGAGGAAGCTGGACCCCCGCCAATGTGTGAGCCATGATCAACTACCAATGGAGATCATCTACAAGGGATGAGAGAAGTGACATAGAAGTATCCAAAGGATCCCGGCTGAGGTTCCATTGATCACGAAGGACACCTTGTAGAAACTGCATATGGGCCCTACCTAGGGCTTTTAAAGGGGTCATGGAGGGCCACATCCCCAAAAGTGATAGACAATCATGAGCTGTAAGTGAGGGAACAGACAGGGCTTTCTGAATGGAGCCAGAGAGGAGAAGGTTGGGCCCAATTGAGATGGGTGTTGAAGAAAACACCCAAATGGATAAGGTATTGGGTAGGATGAAGGAAAGACTTCTCCAATTTGACCTACCAGCCCATCCACGCAGCTTCAGTCAGGAGCTGACAAGTATGACAGGCCAATTCCCATTTGGAATGAGCAAGAAGAAGCCAGCCATCCATATAAACATGGAAGCGCAACCCTTTGGCATGAATATGCCAAGCAAAGGAGTGACCACATGACAAAACATGTATGGTGCTGAGGCTAGTCCAAAAATTAAGGTGCAAAACTGGTATACAACCCTCTGATGGACAAACTGAAGATAAGGACATGAACACTCCACAACAGGAATGTGTAGGTAAGCATTGGAAATGTCCATCTTGGTCATCCAAAGACCTGGAGAAAATGCCCATGGAATAGAAAGGGATGTCTCCACGGTAAAGCAAGGAGTGTGAACAGACTGATGGTTTGATAGCCTGTTGTGTGATGAGGTCCTAAACTGCCTCTGACAGATGCTGGCATGTTGAGGGATCCTGAGGAGAAGGGAAGATAATGGGAACACTGTATGAGGAAAGGAGAGAAAGAGGATAACATATCCCTCCAAGAGCACCCTGTGAATCCAGACATCAGGTTTCCACTGATGAATGAAATTCAAGAGACAAGCCCCCACTGGACCCGAACCAACCACATAGTCACCAGTACTGCTGTTGGTGGATTGTGCATTGTCAAGTAAATCGTTGAACAGTGGCACTGCAGGAGGGTGAGACAGGGAAGGTCTGGGGAACAGGAACAGGTGCCGCTCTTGGCCCTGACTGCGACAAACGAGCTACCAAATTAATAAGGATAGAATGTTGATGGACCGAGGCCACCTGTGACTCCAAAGACTGAAACTAAGTCAAACACATAACACTGCAAAAATGGCACCATGTGGAGATCCCTCAGATAAGGAGCCTAGACACAAGTGTACATCAAAACCATGTTATGGCCCAAGAGGTCCCAAAGACAAACAAACCACACTTGAAGCACCAGATTCAAAGGCAACAGATGAACAAATGTAGAAGTAAGGATAGAGAGGATTTCAACAGAAAAACCCTCAGGGTTCCTGTGAAGAGCCTCTGACAGAAGGTGAAGAGAGGAACGGCACCTTAGCAGGGTCGTGAGGGTGAGATGAAGGTGAGAAACTTGGGCTTGGGTAAGTGGACAAGGTAATCTGAGTATGCCCCCCAAAAAGGTAGAACCAATCCCAACAACTGTTGGTCGAGAAAGGTAAAGTCCGCCCAATGATAAGTAAGGGCAGACTGACCCAAAGTCTGTGGAGGATGAGGTATACTAATGCCCTCCTCCAGTTGAGATGTAAATCAGTCTGTGTGAACCATAATATCGGGGGACAGGCAAAAGACTAAATAGGGTTGAGGAATTATGTCATGTAAAATGGAAGGTTTAGGGTCATAGGAAACAGATGTAAGAGACAAAACATTACATACTTGAGAGATAAAGCCTGATAAGACCGATGACGGATGAGCTGAATCAACAGATAGTGAATGGGAAGGCACAGTAAACTCTGGGGAGGAAAGAAACGATCAAAACTGTCTACAGCCTGGCCTGGCTTGAAAGGCTCAAGAGGAAGTGGGACAGAAATAGGTGAGAGAGGTTGGCTCATATACTGCTCAATTTCCGGTGAATGAGCGACAATATATCCCCAATGGGTTGCCCGTGCCTGTGACTGAAAAGACGACATCAGATACTGGCGAAGTATCCGAAGTGGTGATTGAAACTTCAGAATTCATAAACAGGAAAAAGCACGAGGAATTAATGTTTTAATAAAAATATTAACTCCACAACTGTGAAGTGTAGTAAATAAAGTTAAGAAAAATAAAAAATAAAAAATAAATCACTTCAAGGTAACTGAACAATGTACGAAAGAACATCTGAATTCGACAGCTGCCAAATGAGAAGTGACAGTTCGGTAGTGGCACATAGAAGGAGTCACATGTGTCACATGATAGTATTGCTCTCCTATTGGTGGAGAGGTTACGAACGATGATTTGCATGACAGACGCGTTGAAACTTTGTATTGCAACAGAGGGTTGATGAAGACTTGTGGCATGTGTTTCTGAAAACGTTTGCATTCAGAGGGCAGCACAAAACAAGAAAAGCTAATCCTGTAAGAAGAGGGAAAGTACCTTATCAGAATTAGGAATTTTCAAATGAAGTAGGGATCCTGCTCTAAAAAGAAACGAAACAAGAATTAAAACCAAAATCACAAATTTATAAAATTTAATCCCTATTTTTGCAGCTATATACACTTATCTGTAGGCCAAAGTAAAGATTAAATTTTATAAATTTGTGATTGTGGTTTTCATTCTTGTTTAATTACTTTTTAGAGCAGGATCCCTACTAAATTTCATAATTTTTTAATACTCTTGTTGCATCTACCAAACTATATTCTCTATTTCTTGTAGTTCAACAATGTGGAGAAACTACTGTCTCAACAATCCTGTCCTATGTCTTGTATTTCAACAATGCAGATAAAATACAGTCTCAAAAATACTATGTTTTCTGTGTGCTTTATTTATTTTAAGTGTTATTAACCTATTAGATTTGGGTGTCATAAAAACATAACCAAATTAAACATTATCATCATAAAGTAGACTTTATTTTGCCATTTGGTCAATAAATATATGAGAAATCCAAACTTCCTTCCCACCCTGAAAGCTTGAATCACCAAATCAATATATAATCAAAACTTTACTGATTTAATTTCATATCAATTATAAAGTTTCATATTTCAAAACATTGCCAAATGTATTTCTTACTGAAATATCAAAACTACAACCAGCCATAGCAATTGATTAAATACCTACAGAAAATAGAACAATTCTTTAAACTTAGACCATCCCATTTCATAGGATTAACTTCAACACTTATCAACTGTAAATTTCAATATGTGTTGAAATAAAATAAACCTCTATCATTAAACATACTATATATACCTCATACATCTTGAGCTGTTCTAGTTTCATCACATTAACAAATTCTCCACTCTTTATGGACCACACAAATATCTTATCCAGTATCTTCTCTAAGAACAGATAATCCAGTATGGGACCCACAAATGTAGCTTCATCTGTATGACCAATGGTATTGATCTCTGTCTTCTTTTGACTACTCATTTCTTGAATTAACAATGCAATCATCTGGTCTAAGAGGTTCACAACACACGTAACATCATCAGCTTTCCTTGGTTCACTGGTAATATAAATGATCATAAATACAGCTCATCAGAATAATTGGTATTTAGTTATGAACTTTATCTGGTTTAACACTCTCAACATGGGCTCAGTCAATTTGATCGACCACATGACCTTTTTGTACTCGTTTAAAGTCTTTATAGATTTAATACTTGTAACTTTCAATATAGCAAAATTTTGTAGTCTTTCAGTTAATATTACAAGTCTTTCACATACAAAAAATCATATTTTTTAGTGAAGTATTATTAATGAAATAAAATAAAGATTTGTCCATTAATATATTTAGTATTTGTTTTGAATAGTCTGTGTGCAAAGTAATTTTCATATTAGAATTAAAAATACTTTTCCTCATCTCAAAAATCTCAAATTTCCTTTATGTAATCCCTAAAACCTCCTAAATGCATTTCAAACTTTTTTTTCAGTAAACTTTATAGTTTATCTGTTATTTTCTCTATCCTATCTCGAAGTTATATATTCATGACTGTTGGTATACAGTTTATCATAACATCATGGTCATGTCATCAATGTAGTGCGTGTATATACAAGGAAAACCATGTTCAGTCAAAACATATTTTGATTATTATAGACTCATGATAAGAGGTTGGTCAAATTGACTGACCTCATAACCATTTTGTACTCATGCATTTTACAGTGTAACATTAAATGTTAATATTGAAAGTCATGTAGGGATGATCTATGTATAGCTGTATCATTCCTATATTCTTCTTTCATTCTTTTTGGCACTGCCATCCTTACAACATTTTAAATTTACAAAATATTTTTTATAACTTGTTAACTATACAGGATCAAACTCAAAAGTTCATCCAACTTCATTAGAAAACAGAAGGGATGGGTCCTAAACAAGCAAAATTAGAAAACAAAACAGAAGGGATGGGTCCTAAACAAGCAAAATTACAAAACAAAACAAAAGGGATGGGTCCTAAACAAGAAAAATTAGAAAACAAAACAGAAGGGATGGGTTCTAAACAAACAATATTAGAAAACAAAACAGAATGGATGGGTCCTATACAAGCAAAATTAGAACTCAAAAAGAAGAGTTCCCATCATATCTAAAAACTGACCAACAATACAGAAAAGATACTAACAAGTGGAAAAGCTACAATAAGATTACAGAACTGGTCTAACTGTAACAAACCGGATGAATAACAAGGGGAATATACAGACATAAATAGATCCTCTAGTGGAAACATCACATATGGAGGGGATTAAAGAAACCCAACCCCTTTATGTCACAACAAGAAAGATCCACATAATAGACCAAATTCATAATAAATGAAGAAGACATGAATGAATAACTGGGCCTTGTAACCAGAGGGAATAAACAATGTGGAAGAGTAAAGGGCCCCAATCTCTTCACGTTAACCCTATGCAAATGATGGGGTCAAAATGCACGTCATGGCAATAAACTTGGCATCAAAATGTAGTTTATAATTCAAATTTTAATATTATGTAAGTTTTAATTACTTAACTTTAAAAGAAAATATTTAAATCAAATCTCAGTCCAAACACTAAGTCACGTGACTTTACAGTGGTGGAATTTCTGATTTATAGGTTAATATTTCCTTAAATCGAAAACGCATTTCCAATAATACTTACCTCCTCTCACACAAAAGCTATTACTAGACTGCTAGGGTTTCCTGTCTTTGTCATCAATCTAAACATTGGTCTGATTTCTTCTCAATTGCTCTAGACTTTTATTCCCCAGTTAATTGCCGTTGGCAAAATCTGTCTCGTGACACTCTATACCTATGTCAATGCGCCTCTATCCTGGTATTGTATATAAGCACCTCATTCAGAAAATGTTATCACTTTTTTTAGACTAACTCAATCCATAGTCTTTAACACCAGCTCTTAATGGGAAGGAAGTATTATAGGAAATACATTTTCAATTTAAGAAAATGTTAACTTCCAAAACATACTTACCACTTCTCACACTACAGCTAAAATCCCACATTGATAAGAAGCCAGTGAAGGCATTATCCACACAGAAAGCAACTGCATAAATCATGGGTATGTCAATAAAAGATTGGTGCCCTAGTGGGGGAACTGCACTACATCTAGAACAGGTATGCTCTTCACCCAGACCTAAATTCATATACTGTGGGTGGAATTTTACATGATTTGTCATCACTATTGGCCAGGCCCCAACCACATAGCTGAGGTTCCACTCTTCGGGGTTGGAATTATAGGGAAATGGTCCCTAAACCCCACATTGGTGGCTAGGGTATTTGGACAGCAGTATATATATATATATGTGTGTGTGTGTTTGTGTATGTGTGTGAGTGGACCTCAACCTCTAGCTATAGAGTGATGCATTCCAAGCCATCGGAATCATGTTAAGAAGGTAAGCAACATCAAAGTGGACAAGCCCACTCCTCAACCTGAAGAAGTCCAAAAGGCAACACTCCAACCTCGGACACATGGGATCCTGTATGCCATGTTCAACCTTAGGAAACAAAAACTCACAAGCTTTGGAATTTCGAACACTCATCCTCACTCCCCAACCATGTGGGCATGGTAGATTCCACTTGTCCCCGGAATTATGGGCGGGATGTGGAACAATCTGTGCTCAACCAAGGATCCAGGATGGGACCACTCTGTGTTCGGAATTACGGGGAGACAATGGACCCTCTTCCATGACCAATGTACTGAACCAATATTGGTCAAAAAGAAGGAAGAAGAGCCATGCTCACCCAACTGGATAGCTGAGTGTCAAATCTGAACCAGTATTACAAGCAGGCTCCCGCGTAAGCTGGTGCCTCTCCTACCAACATCTGGGAAACAAAAATCCAGGGTCCCAGGTAGGAGAGCCCCCAACTTCACTCTTTTCTCCAAGAGTGAAGGAAATTCACTTGAACACACTGGAGGAATAACCTCTGTCCACCACCCCAGCAACTGGAAACTGGGTGTGGTAAGGACTCCCTAGCTCCACTAGTAGAATATAGGGGGAGGGGGTAATGAGCATAGGGGAGTCCTGAAGAACACTGCTCTGGGAACAGTGCAATAAGTGAACCAAGTTCCATAGACTTTCAAAAACAAACTGACTCCAAATTATTCAATCCAATGATCAGCAGAGACAGGGAGGATTCCCTTAGGCTGGATATTCCAGTAGTGGGCAGTCCACCATAGTACAATAATACCATCTGGTCTGCCTCTAGGTGGTCTTATGGAACACCTCATTTCTACAGAGCTTGTTGCAATCTAGATAAAGTATATTGAATTAGTGGTTGCTAGTGCGGAATTGGTTTGATAAAAGCACACCTGCCTGGGCAACACTTGCCACAGAGTGGGATCCTGTGAAAACAAGGTAAGGGACCCTGAAAGATAGCATAGAAAATACTCTGTATAATCTAGTGGAAGCGGTTAAGATAGCGATAAGGGGTAGTCAAACACCCTGAAATGAGGATACTGCCAGATCATGCAAATAACGTGAGATAAAAGTAGTGTGGGAGGTCCACACACCAGTCCAGACAATATCCTCCAACAGTCATTTCAACCAGGCTGCTAAGGATATAGAAATGTGACTCACAGAAAATTCCTTGCCTTCAAAGAAAGCCCAGAATAAGCAATATGGAACAATTTCGTACCCACCTCATCAATGTAACCGGAGATGAATCCTAGGAAACTGAATGATCCCAATGAATAAAAAGTCTTTGTACAACATCTCTAGAGGCATTAGTGTGGGCAATAAAGCCTTGAAGACCCTCATTGGACCTAACAAATGATCAAAATCTGAATGGTCATAGAAGTGAGAAATAGTGATCAGATGAATCGATGAAAAGGATTTATCCCCTTTCATGGCTGACAGTGTCTTAGGGAAGAAAAACTGGTCTGAGGACAAAGCTAGTATGATAAAGCATCCTGTGGACAATGAGCACAAACCACTCTGACCAGCGATGCCTATAGGTCAGCAGCAACAAAAAATAAACTTCAGGTAAAAGTGAGATGTGGCATATGAGGCTAAGGTCACAAATGAGTGTTGAGAAAGGGCATGTAATGTAACCTTAATATACCAATTATAGAACTGGAATGGTCATTTAGGACAAAGGATCTAATGCTACTTGAGGAAACCGAAAAGTACTGGGGACTCAAAAAAATTTTGTCTCAAGAATCAAATGATAGTCGATAAGGCCGTCTTACACAGGGTGATTGTGGAAGATGCAAAACCCTTGCCAAAGAGCCAGATAAAAAAACAAGTTATGGTAGGTACTTCTAATCAAAGTGGGTTCAACCTCCTCTCAATACACCATTGCCAAAATACGTGCCATTTTGGTTGATAAATGTCCATCTCAGGACTAAGAAAAGCTTGAGACAGATACATGGCAACCTTAAAAATTAAACTCTGACACCATGCAAAAGACTGCATAACCACCATGCCTGAAGCTTGAGCTTCTTGATAACCGGGTTTATCATGCCATCATAGCTGCCTCCACAGAGGAAGTACAAAAGGTGGGCACTCCCAAAAGTACCACAGAAGCATAAACCAGGGAGTAACAGCCAATCCAATGCTATCAACAGATGGATCTCTGGATGAGATGGCCGCAGAGAAACCCACATCTTAATACTCTCCTGACATACCAACTGCTCGAGATTGAAGAATGATCCTGAATAAGAAAACAGGGGAATCCAATGGATCAATGTTTATGATCCCTTGGTTGCATAAAGACCAATGAAGGGATTTTCTGTGTACTCATTCCATAAGGGATTCAAGTAATACCCACATTCCCAAAAGAGAAAGAACCATCCATGCAGTGGGAGAATGAGAGGGGAGTAAGAGTCAGGCTTCCTGTTCCAAAACCCAAACTGAGGATATATTGAGTTGGAGCAAGAATAGATGTTTCAGCTCTGAGAATGAAGTCTGCTTTGGTTGTTTCTGAAAATAGAATCCAGGTGTAACATTTTGACACTCGACGAGATGGTGCCAGCAGTAACAAGTCATCCACTTAATGGTATGTGCACAGGGCTAGGGATTGGAGG